ATCATCACACATGAGATGTGCAAGGCTGAGAGCCAGGGAGGGCTGGGATAGAGCAAAACCAGCCAGCTCCATCAGTTCTACAGAGCTGTTCACAGCAGGTTTCAAAGGGAGGCTTGGGAGCCTTCAAAAGCAGGCTTGAGAGAGAGAGAGAGAGAGCAAACTCCTCATTCTTTTCCTACCTAGGAGATCAGCAGTAAGTGCTGCACTGCTTGCTGTGTGGGACTGCTCCATAAAGCCAGGCAGGATGGCTGCAGGGCTGGGTCAGCCCTCACCAGGGGAGCTCCCCAAAAGTGTGTTGTTCTCTCTCTGAGGTAGCTGGACACCTCCTGTGCCTTGCTGGACTGACAGGCTCTCATTCCTGTGGGTGGGAGTGAAATTCATTTGCCTTCTGCATTTCAAGCACCGAAACTGAACTTGCAAACACACAGCTACATCAGATCTTGCCTTGCTAAATGCTGCAGAAACTCCACAAGGCACCTGAAACTTGGGCACACCCTGCTGTGGCTGTGAGCCAGGCCCAGGTGATCCCATCATGTCTGGGCTGCACTGGCAGGGTTTCTGGCCATCACACCCCTCCTCAGACAAAGCTTTTCCTCCTCATACTCCATTCCCAGTTTCTGGGCTTGACCTGTAATGACATCAAATGTAACTTCACTGCACATGGGCACTGTGACACAGCCTGGTGCCAGCACCTTTCAAGTCTTCATATAAAAGGACACACAAGCAGGTGACAGCACCTCCCATTTTTTGGATTATGAAGGGATTTTTTAGGAAACAACTACACACCAAGGCTTGCTCCAGCACAGGGACAACCCCAGCCTCCCAGGTAAACTGACCTGCAGTGCCAGCCACATACCTTTGGGGCTGTCCAAAGGAACAGCAGCCCAGAGCCTTGTTCAGCATCTCTGGTGGCAGACATGGCAGGAGCAGGGCTTCAGGACAACAAGCTGCTCATCAAACTGTTATCTCTCCTGAGAAATTGCCCTTGGGAATCGTGGGCTGTGGGAAAATCTCTATGGCAAGCTGAGTTATGAAGTGTTTTAATCACAGCTTTCCTGCACTGCAGGAATCCTTTAAGCATTTCTTTCTGGCTTTCTCTGACAGCAGGTGCCCTGTGTTAAGCTCTTTGAGTTCTATTCCATACACAGCACTGAGAGAAAACAGCAAATAGGGAAGAGCACATAATTCCATGGAGTCCTTTGCACTGAATTCCAGTACAATGTCCTTCCAAGCAATGGTTTCAACTCTTCCCAAAGCCTTTATGGATTATATTCGTGCACATTCTGAGCAATTACCACCTCATTTGTCCTCTAGTTCAGACACTTCCCTAAAGCATGCAGCATTTCAGGATCTACTACAAAGTGTCCTGAGAAAGGCAGGAAAAGTTACATTTTTCATTTTTCTTTACTCAGATGACAGGAAACAAAAGTTTATAGATATTTTGTTCACTTTCTTTCTCTGTAACCACTAAATGTGTGTAACAAGCTAGCAAAATGCTGATAGAAATCCTTCTCCAAGGCCCAGAAGCCAGATAAACCAGCAAGAGCAGTGCAGAGAGGTAACAAAACAGACACAGGAGGTGTGCTCAGCCCTGTCCAAGTACTCAGAAAGATCCAGGCAAGTGGAGTATTTGTCAGTGTGGAGCAGGAGAGCTGCCTGGAAAAGGCACTTCTCTGCACCCATGCTGTCCATTGAGTCAGAAACAGCAAAGGACTCCACTGACATTGAAGTTACAACCCATGAACCTGAACTTTCATTTCCTTCAGTCCTGAGAGGATTTCCTACTAAATGCCTTCTGAATATAGTTGGGATTGGTAGCATTTGTTAATGAATGCCAAACATTCCCTTCCACTCACATCACAGGAGAGCTTTCTCCTCAGCAGCTTACTCTGAGGTCATTAGAGTGTGTATGAAGGCAGGGGTGTGACTGATTCATCCACAGGAGTCACACTAATGGAAAGCCTGGGAGCAAGCAGTGTCAGAATTTGATCTCCAGCCCAGCCATCCTAATATTCCAAACCACCTGAAAAGGGCACACCACAGGCTCTGCATGATCTTTTTCCTCATTCTTTGCTGAAGAGCCATGATGGCTAGGGAGTGAACTTGAACCACTGTCCTCAGAAAAGGGAACATTTGGGCATACAAGCCACCATCACTCTAACCAGGACAAGTGGAACCTACAAAATGCTACCCCAAAAGTATGGATGAAATACAAGGAAAAAGCTGGGAGCTTTCAGGATCCCAAATGGAAGGAGCAAAGAAAGGGAGAGAGTCTAAAGACAGCCATGGTGGCTGCTGCTCTGCTTTCCTCCCTCTCCCCAGAGGTGCTCTCTAGTGATGAGCAGGCTCCAGGAAATAAAAGCCAGGGCTCAGCACACTGCCAGAGGTTTCTCCTCTCTGGGGTTGCCACAGCATTCTCCTTGCAAATATTCTGTCACTTTAACAGTGTATTCTGTACTTCTTTAGGGGTGAACTTCCAAGCCACTGGAGCAGAGAATTTCCCCAAATCCTGGCCCATTTTCTCCCATGCTATGCATGTCTATTCATCCTTGGGGGCAGATCTCTGAATGACCTCCCTAGAAATCTTTGTCCTGATTCTCAACATGGTTTGGGGCCCACTGAGTAGACCTGGCAGACCTAGCAACAAGAACATGCTTTCCTTAACATACAAAGGGAATTCAAAACTCTCAAAAGCTCTTGTAACAGGATGCAGGGAGGAAAAAGGGGTGAAAAGCTGGGGAAAATCATCCTTCCCTGTTCTCCCTGCAGGGCAACACTGATCATCAAGTGACCCTCATTGTCCTCAAAGTTATCATGTCATAAAGGGGCATCCCACAGTACAGCAACAAAGCAAAAATCAAATCCTGATTGCTCTCCCTGCCCTGAAAACCCCCCATGAGGAGCATCTATGGCAAAATACAGAGAGTTAGGCCTCACACCCACTGAACAGACCAAGCAATATTGTGACTACTCCAATACAGAAAATGCTTGGATCAAACCTGTTTCCAGCCTGTTCTGGGCAGATCTGTGGTTATCTCACTCTGTGCCCCACACTGGGGCTGAATTAAGGCTGTCCTGGTTTAGGAAACTCCAAACTGAAAACTCTCACTGAAACTCCAAACCAGGCTGCCCATCACTTGCTCCCTCTTCCTCTCTCCCTCTTTTCTGCATCAGGATGGAAAGGAGAACTGGAAATACACAAAATATTATAAGAACAATTTCCTGGAAAAAGCAATGAGATAAGAAAAGGAACAGTAATAGCAACCATATTAAATAACAAAATGGATACAAACAAGAGAGAGAGCTTCACATGGAAAAATGCCCACCATGGAGCCCAATCCCACCCACTGCCACTTCAACCCTGCCCCAAAAATTAACTCTGTCCTGGCTGGAACAGGACAATAATTCAAACATATCACCACAAATTAACAATGAGTATAATAAAGAATCATAATAAACACAAAACAGTATTTTAGCATTTTTTATTACAGTTTTAGCTAATTGTAGTACATAGATTATAACAGGTTTTTGTACCAAGAACTAGTAACTTTTGCTATCAACTATAAAGCTCTGCAAATTCAAAAGTATTTTTACTCCTAATATAAAAACCATCACAACACAGTAAAAGAAAAAGAACTGTGGCCAGTTCAGCAAGCCACCAAACAGAATTTACCTTTTGTCCCCAAGCCTTCCTGCTACTCATATTTTTCTTTTACCAGCAGCTTTTCTGAGCAAAGTAGTCTTGCTTTTCATGCCTTAGCACAAAACCATCCATTTCAAGACCATCCCAAGAGAAGTGAAGGGGAATTAGACCTTCAGAGACATCAGGCACACAAAGAACAACTGTCCCAAAGGCTTGGGAAGAAGCAGTAATTAATTACCTAAAATGGCTAGTGCCATAAACTTGATTTTTCCCATTAAATGCCAAAACAACATAGAAAAATATTTCTCCTGTTGAATTTTTAGATCAATTACTTTTTTTTTTTTGCTTAATAATAACATGAAATGCTTTATCCCGAACAAATATTTTAATAGATATGTAAATATTCCAAAGAAATAATTTCACAGATGGTGACCAAACAGCACTAAATAAATGGACAATGTGCTCTTGTTCCCATGCTAAAAATAGAGGAAAAAAACCCAATATACACAGTGAGAGTGACAAGTACAACCAGGCCCCTGTGCAGACATTTCATATTTCACAGTTTTTCTTCAAGTACAGGCTCATGGTAATAGAAATAAATAAGGTGTTGTGGAGTGTTCTCTGACAGTGCTGCTACATTACTTTGGTCCTACACCTTCTTTTGAAAAAGCAATTCAAGAATTTACAAGCACATGTCTTTCCATCCAAGTTTTATATGCAGAGATTTGACCAAATGGGATTTGACTCTTCTGTGCATACAAAAAGGTTCTCATTTTCACTTTTGTAAAGGTTAGGGAAGGTCAAATGAGTCGTGTCAAAGTTTGTTTGGAAGAGAGAGCTGGAGATCCCCAGCTACAATGCAGGATTTTACTTCACATTTTTAGAAAGATTCAAACATAAAACAGCAGTTTCAGGCAGGTAAAAATTTCAGTTGATATTTATATTTAATCTAGCCACTGAAGCACCACTGGAATTATACATTAGCTGTAAAAATTCTATTATTTTTTTCACAGGAAGATTAACAAAATTATAAAAGTCACAGCTGCACCTGAGCTCAAAGAGCCAAAAGAAGTTGCAATTCTATCTATTTGTTTATTAGCTGCTCAGATAAGGATGTTTTGTGATAGAACAGATGAAGAAATCTGATTGCTGGCTTTATCAGGAGCAGCAAACAACCCAGGGTGTGTCACTGCTTGCCCTGTCAGCCACCAGCTGGGCACTTGTGTTGATTATTGATTGTTTGCTGCAAACACAACACAAGGAATGATCTGCAGCACAAGCCCAGCCAAGCTAAAAACAGCCTCCTTTGCTACCAGGATTAAAAAAGTGATAAAAGAAAACAGAGTCTCTCCTGAAGTAATACTGGAACTTAAAATACAGTTTGCATTGATCCTGTCAGGAACAGGTCACTTTTAAAAACACAAGTGTGCTAATATATACTTTTACTACATGTAACAGTTTACAATGCCCTAAAAATAGTATGAAAATACTTACTAGGAATTATAGAATTTCTCATCCTTTGGATATAGGAAACATCCATGCATAGAAAACTACTCTTTGGAGTTTACCTCCTTCAACAATAAAATCAGCCTTACTGAAGTTGATTTGGCTACAATAAAGCCAGAAAGTAGAAGCAGTGATTTGTGATGGCCTACAAGAAATTATTCAAAATTAGCTGCAATAGAATAAGAGATTTTAGGAAAACAATAACCCTCAAGGTTAAATCTAAAAGAAATAATGCCTGTCATGTAACATACAGTGTGCCTCTCACACACTGAGGCATCTCCTCTTCTTTCTTTTGCTAAGACACAAGGCATGCTTGAATTTTCATTTGATATTCTGCAGAGGCCAAGGAAATCCTCTGCTGTGAGCAGAGACAGAGAAAGGGCTGCTGGTCTCACACACACATGTAAACACTGCAATATTTATAAAATTAACCTTGCAGGGGTGCAGCCTTAGTGAGGTGACTGTTACCTGGCACTGAACAAGGTATCACTGGCAGCTGTTTATTTCTAAATGGAATACAAAGTTAAAAGCAGGGAGCTAATAAGGTGTATTAAAAAAAATGTTATTATCTACTGCATATCAGGCTAGAAAACTTTCAATGACTATTTTGTATCCCTAATAGGAAATTTAAAATAACCTCAAGAAAAGAAGGACTAAAGAAAATGGAAGTCAAATGTGTATAATATATAAAAATACCAACTAACTACATGTTATGAACTACATCTCACAAGATGTTACCACAAAACAGTCCCACATTAAACTCCACAGCAAGCTCCAGATCAAATGGAGGCAAGAGGCATCCTTTTGTCCTCCACCACTGCAATCCAGCTCCAGGAGGTCTCCTGTGAGGCAGGGGGTAAAATCATCTACAAACAAGACAGGAAAATACCATTTCAGATCAGCAGTTTTCTTACATTAAGAAACCTGAAAGAACTGCACACATTTTATAAGTCACAAGTAAACAATGACTTCATCATGAGATTAAGAAACCTGGTTAAACTATTTCAAAGACTTCTTCCATAATTCTTACCAGGATATATTGTATTGACTTTCTGGGAAATTGTTATGGGTATACACACACACCACCACACTGTTTAGTTTGACTCCAAGCCATCTAACTTTGCAAACAGCAGTTAACCCTTATAAATTAAAATTCAGACTGAAACCTATGGAAACCCATCTCATTAACATTTTTCCAGAACTTCTTAATACCAAGCACATTAGAGAGCAGCTAAAGGAGAAGCCCTTTAAGTGGCTGTTTGAGCATCTTACCCAAGACTTTACACATGATGCCCATGAACTGCACTGCTGTCACCTTCTCCACTTTGCATCTGCATCTGCATCTGGGCCTGCATTCTTGCAATCATCTCCTGCATGCGACGCAGCTGGAAAAGCAGCACAGAGGAATTCTGGAGCTCAGAAGATAATTCTTCACTGTCACCACTCTAATATATATTTTTATTAAAGAGGGATCACATATCTGCATTTTCTTTATCTGACAGGTAATGTATTCAGGTTATGGCATCTTCTTTTACTGCTCTTCATCACTGAAGAATTAATGTACTGTGGGATGGGATTTTTAAGCATCTCTAAGTGGAAGTCTCTGACGTTACAGGTATAAAAATTATGGTTCTGAAATACTGAACAAACATTTACACTTACTAAAGTTTATCAGAAAAAAAAAAAAAAAAAGCAGGCTGGTTATGTCCCTCCAAAGTACTCCTGTACCTGTCATCCAAAAACAATTGTCAGGATTATTCCCCAAGTCCCTTGCTAGGCATGACTAGGTGGAAGAAAGTATTACAGGCAAACCATCCAGTGAGACACAAGCATGACTACACTTGGCTGAAGCTCAGTTTTAGAGTATTGCATTTTAGACTAACAGACTATGTTAGAAGTAGCTTTTTAAATTGAAATCAACCATCTATGAATCCCATCAACCATGACCTCCTGCTTGTGTGGTAGACTCCCATTCATCCTGCCATCTGTGATCATGTCAGACCCTTTCCCTTCTGTCACCCACTTCTCAACAAGGCTATTAATCTCATCTACCCTAGCACAGGACCTGCTTCAGGTCTCCACTTCAGCCTTTCTGCCCACATTTTGCTTTTCATTGCACTTTTTCTAGTCTTGCCTATCTATAACCTTTATAGGTTAGAGGAACAGGAAAAGCAGCATTAGATCTGTGCATTATAAATTTGTAACAGTGGCAGAATGAGAATTTCTGTCTCATTTTTTATTTCTGACCGTTTTTACCATCATTCTCTCTTTTGCTGCAGAGCTGAACTGACTTTGTCCCAATCTGCAGCTGTTAACTGCAGAACCCTTATTCCCATGAGGATGTCTCTCCTTGCCCACACTGTGTGTGTTACATCCACTGCTGATCACTAAAATGGAATCATGTTTTACCACATTCCACTTGTCCCAAAAAACCCCTCAGTCTCCTCTCGCCTCTTCTCATTCTGCTTTCTTAGTGAACCTTAAATAACCTTATATTGGCATATAACTGCTTTTCCTTTATGAATTACCAAGATCATGTAAATGTTTGCTCTAAAGTAGCAACAAAAGAACAAAAATTCTCCCTTTACAAGAATATAAAGTTCTGTCGTCTTACTTCTGCTTCCTTCTCAAGCAGAATCTGGTCTTTATTCACTTCTTCATCTTCTATTTTCCTAAAATAATATTAATATTGTTAGAAACATAAAATCATTAAGGTTAGAAAAACCTTCTAAGATGGCTGAGTCCAAGCATTAACCCACCACTGTGTTCACCACTAAACCATGTCCCCCACTGTCACTGTCATATTTTCTGAAAAATCCCTTTGCCAGGATTCTTCTCTGGGGAAGCTGAGAAGCCTCAAAAAAGAATGAAAACAATAATTATCTGATTGCTTCTCCTGTGTTTGCTGCTTTGGAATGTGGTCTGGAGATTGTTTACCAACAGGTGCATGTTTGATTGGTTTCCTGTAAATTGTTTTTAGTTAATGACCAATCACCATCAGTTGTGTCAGACTCTGAAGAGTCAATCACAAGGTTTCATTATCACTCTTCTTAAACTTTCTGATATATCTTTTCTCTTTTTTTAGAATAGTTTTAGTATAGCATATAATATAGTATAATATAGTATAGTATAATATAGTAAAGTATAATATAGTATAAAAGTATAATATAGTATGGTATAATATAGTATAGTATAATATAGTATAGTAGGATATAGTATAGTAGGATATAATATAGTAGGGTATAATATAGTAGGGTATAATATAGTAGGGTATAATATAGTAGGGTATAATATAGTAGGGTATAATATAGTAGGGTATAATATAGTAGGGTATAATATAGTAGGGTATAATATAGTATAGTAGGATATAATATAGTAGGATATAGTATGATATAGTATGATATAATATATGATATTATATGATATATGACATAATGTAGTGTAATGTAGTGTAATGTAGTGTAATGTAGTGTAATGTAGTGTAATGTAGTGTAATGTAGTGTAATGTAGTGTAATATAGTGTAATATAGTGTAATATAGTGTAATATAGTGTAATATAGTGTAATATAGTGTAATATAGTGTAATATAGTGTAATATAGTGTAATATAGTGTAATATAGTGTAATATAGTGTAATATAGTGTAATATAGCATAGTGTAATATAGCATAGTGTAATATAGCATAGTGTAATATAGCATAGTGTAATATAGCATAGTGTAATATAGCATAGTGTAATATAACACCCTCTCTGTAAAGAAATTACCCCTAATATCAATCTAAGGTTCCCTGGTGCAACCTGAGGCTGTTTCCTGTTATTGCATCACTTGTTACTTGGGAGAAGTGGCTGCCTCCCTCATACCTGGCTTTATTCAAGATTTCCTACCACTTTGTTAATAGCTTTCTCCTTCTCCATGTCACAACAGGGAGGATCTACTAATGGAGCTAATCAAGCAAGTGCCATCAAACATGTCAAGCAAACAAATTGGTGTTTGTTAAAAAGTTAACAGAGAAATACTTTGTAAAAAAAATCCCGTGTAAATAAAAAAAAAATTACTGTAAATAAACCCTGTGCAAATAAATACATTGTAAAAAAATCTGCTGTGCCCCAAAACCTCTGAGATCATCAGTGAGCACAGCCAACAAACACCTACTGTAAGCACTCCTGATAGCAGAAGTGCAAGCTTGAAATAAATTCACATGAAATTTACCCTCACTTATTGTAAATGTTCTAGTACCATTTCAGAAATGGGAAAGCAAATGGGCCACTTAACTAGAAAATAAACAAAACATGTTTTAGTTTCACATACACAACTTAACAGGAACTTGAAATCCTCTAAAATTGGATGACCTTAGGTCACATTACCTCTAAGGCCTTTGTACACACCTGTTGGATAAGAGGTGCCAGAACTTGGGAAGTTTGGGGACTTTTACCTTGAATTTCAGAAAGCAGGATTTAAAATCAGGAGAGAAGAGCATTTTATATTGCTTCTAGGCCAATGCTACAGGCAGAAAACTCTAAAAGGAAAACTCCTTTTGCTGTAAACTGACCAGACATGTTACAAAATGTCTGTTAACAGCTTGATGGGGAAACTTTTGCAAAATGCCCCAAAAAGTGCAATTTGGAACCCCTCTAGTGGCTGTAAGAAGAGATGCAGCTGAAACACCTAAACCAGGAATCGTGCAGTTACCCTCAAGCCCTCCCCAGCTCATCTTTACAGCCCCTGCTATTGTATTTAAAAATGGGGTGGATTGCCCAGTTCTCTTTCCAGGAAAGCTGTGCCCTGTCCAAGGCAGCTCAAAACACGGCCAGCAGTCTGTGACTGTTACTATTTATGTATGTCATGTTTAATAAAGCAAAATTGCAAAAAATTTGATCATCTCTTTTGAAAGGCCCCATCCAAATATTCTGGTTGTTAATTCTGAAAAAAAGCCCACACTCTTTTTAAGATATCAGCTCTGATCTAATTAGCAGATTTTTTTAAAACAACATTTATCATAGACATCTGTCCTACTTAGTACCTTCAACATTCCAACCCAACTGTGTTTAAGCCTGCCTCAGATCAAAGCACAGATCTATTCCCACAATTCCCTAACTCCACCACCATCACTTCAGATTTACCAAATATTTTTTGTTACACTCTTTGTAACCTGCTCCACAGAACTTGATGTTGACTGGAGTTACAGAGCTTGCCCTTGTCTACCAAATCCTAAGCAATGCAATGGTAGGTGAGACACAGAGAGAGCAAAATACAAATTCACAAAAGGAAAAAACAACAAGGAACCATGAGATGACAACCTGCTGCCTCGTTTGAGCCTCTCAGAGCGGAAATTCTCATAGTGAAGATCCTGGGTCACCTCCTGAAGGTCCTGCATGTGGGTGCTGGAGGAAGCACAGGGATTAAAAGATAAAACATCCTCGTGTCACATCAGTTTGCTTAAGCAACTCTCACATTCAGCACTGTCTTGGATCAACGTGCTCAGCATGCACACCCACTTAGCAGACTAATTTCAAACTAATTTCAGTTCAATTGGTGCAATAAAGGACACAGAGAGGTCACCTCAGCCCTGAGACTGCCCTGACAGAAGCTGCACTCATGGGTGAGGCCTTTGAGGAATCTGAGCAGGCAAGACAGAGTAGCAAAGACCAGGAAAAAAAACAACCAGGGGCTTTTCAGGTCTGCTCCCTTGCAAATGTATCTACTTAGAGATATATTGAAATAGATATATTGAAATCAGCACAACCTGGTTTATGTTCCAGGGGATCTGAGTAGTAATACAACACTACATTGGACAAAATAATCAGCAAAATCATTATTTTCACAGAATCACTGAGTAATTCAGATCAGAGAGCACCTGTGGATCCTGGGTGGTCCAACCTCTGACTAGGCCCAGCTCAGCTAGGTCAAGGCTGCTCATGGCATTCTCCACACAAATTCTCAATGTGCCCAGGGATTACAGAACTGCTGCAAACCCCCAGTGCAGTGCTTGATTATCTTGGTGATTGTTTTGTAAACTACCACTTAATTGGAATGTTCTAACTTACATTAACATGGTCCTCAGCTTCAGGAAGTCATTATGCTCTGGATTCTCCACTTCAACTACACCCCATGGGTAGAGCCGACCTCTGACTTTTTTACCTTTTGCTTCAATGAGTTGATTGGACCCCACCACACAAAATGGAATGCTGGCCTGAAAGCCAAAAGTGAAAAAGTGACTTATAATGAACCAGGACAAACAACTCCAGGAACAACTCTTGTTCTGCTCAGCACTGCATATGGTAATAAGTTCATAATTATTTTAAATTAAAGGTGTAAAATAAATAAAAGGAACTTCTGCCACCATCTTCCAAGCTAGGGAAGCCTGGGCAGAGACACAGTGACTCACTCCAGGTCCTGTCCTAAAGCCATCTGAGCAGTCTGAAAAAATACAATATATTATCCATGTATATAACTATTAAACCAGTCACACCTTCAGGAGTCTGGTCTGCTCTTTAAAATCTTCATCCTCATCTGATTCAGCATCAGGCAGGTGATAAATTTTGATGCCATGCTCTTCTATTTCATCCAGAATCTGAGATATGCAATAAAAGAAATTGATATAATGTACATGGAGAATCAGTACTTTTAAATCTTAACATAAAATTGTTTAATACACAATCTCTTAAGAAGTCTGGATTTATCTTATTGATCCAAATTGCTCAGCAAGCATTTGGTTTTAAATACCGTATTTCTTCATGATATTCAACAACTACTTCCCATGGACTTTCATACAAGCAAGTGTTCACAAAACCACCATCCTTTGTGGAAACTGTGCTATGTCAAACCTTTGCAATTTTTTTTGCAATAATAAAGGTGTTGACTCAGAAGTTATACTTGCTTTCTACAGTTTAACCTCCTTGCTCTCACCTCTGAATTACTACTGGGGGGGTAGGGGTGGGTTAGTTTGAAAAACTGAGATATAAACACTACAAATACTTTTTTCCTCATGATTGACAGTAATGCTATCTGCACCAGGAATCCATCTACCATAGACCCCAAATTTTGCTCTTTAAAAAAGAATAATCTTTATTTCTGCAGAATTCTAGCATCCTAGACATACCTACTAGAGTATACTATATAAAAAGTCTTTATTTTTATTCCAGATTGGGTGAGATAACTATAAGGATTTTCAGAATAACTGACAAGAATCATGAAGTTTTCAATGCAAGAGCTAAGACTGGAGCATGCCTTTGACAAGTTAATTCTAACACTTCTTTCTAAACTTCAGAGCTGTTATTAGCTCATGATGTTTTGTTGAATCCCACCTCCTCCCAGCAAATACAGCATCAAGCCCTGCATGACTGGATGTGTTAAGAGGTCTTTCCTCTGGAAGACAGTGCTGGAATACTTTAGAAGGAGTGACATAAGGGAAGAAAAACAACCTCACAATCAGAAACATCTCTGAATATCCCATTTTTTAACCACCAGAATTCTGACTGGTTAAAAACCCCAAATATAATATGTACATTTTATATGCAGATACTATCTCAGCTTTGGGACTGATTAAACAGGTAACAGAGCAATTACCATCAGCAAAGGTATTTAAATATTTTTCCAAAGTTTCAAAATTCACTAAATCTAATTGTAAATGTAGCTAGACTGCCATTTAGCAAACAACACTCTAAGGACAATTTCTCATTTAAATACATAACAAAATATTTTACAGGATATCAAACTCCACATTAAGTGATGCTACACTGTGCATGAGATTATATTTTCCTCAGCTAGGAGAGAGCAAGGTTAATGAGAATGCCCCTCTCTTCAGCCACCACACTGCCACAACCACATTTCTGCAAGCCACAAAAACACTCACCCTTTTCTTTAGTCTCTCTCGCTCCTTCAGAGAAAGTGTATCAGCTTTTGCAATGACTGGTACAATGTTTACTTTGTTGTGTATGGCCTTCATAAACTCAACATCCAGAGGCTTAAGGCTGAAATTAAAATATGGAAAATTTTTATTTATTTTTACTCTAAATTACCAATTTATTTTCACTCCAACAAAAATATCTCTCTTTAAACAGAAAGAAAGAAGACAGACAATTAATGTCAGCAGTTATAGCAGTTGCATAACTGATTCTGAAAACTTAAGTCAACAAGCACAAACCAACTCTCTAAAATAAAATAATGGGGAATAAAAATGACAGAGAAACACCTACCCATGACCAAAAGGTGAAATGAAATAGAAACAGCAATGAACTCGATTATCTATGATATGTCTCCTGTTCAATCCACTCTCATCATGCAGGTATCGCTCAAACTGCTCATCAATGTAAGAGATTATGGTCTTAAAGCTGTAAAACAAACACAGATTTGAGGAATCACACAACATAAGGACTCTTTCAAAGGTAATATTAAACCACTAAGATAGCCTGCTGATGAACCAATCTTCTGTTGGACAAAAATTCATTTACTGATTCTATAGAACAGGAAAAATAGAAGAGCACATCTTAAAATTTTATTGGAATTCTAGAATTAAAAAAAATAAGCATAGGTACTATGTATATTACATATGTATACAAAGATAATACATACATAACCCAGCCTCAGTTCTACAACAAATTTCTCTTGGGTTAGTGTTTATATCTTGATTAACATTAACCACACATTTCTCAAGGTATTTTAAGGTTCTTGTTGCAAACTGATTTCAAATCATAAATGGTTTGTGTTGGAAGGGACCTTTAAAGATCACCTATTTCCAAGCTACTGTCATGGACACCTTCCATTAGTGCAGGGTTCTCTTGAACACTTTCAGGGATGGGGCAGCCACAGCTGCTCTGGGCAACTGTGCCAGGGGCCTCAACACCATCCCTGGAAAAAAGTCTCTGCTACATCCAACCTAAATCTACTTTCAGTTTCAAGCCATTGTCCCTTGCTCTGCTGCTGCAGGCCCTGGTATTAACTCTCTTTCCATGTTTCCTGTGAGCCCCTTTGATATATTTCAAATCCTCAGTAAGGTCTCCCTGGATCTTCTCTTTTTCAGATGGAACCCTCCCAGCCTCTCTTTACTGCTGTTTTAGCCCTTGGATCATTCTTGTGGTCCTCCTGTGCACCTGGCCCAAGAGGTCCATGTCTGGCACGTGTTAGAGCCCAGAGCTGGAGTGGGGCAGAACTCCCTCCCTCAGCCTGCTGGCCACACTGCTTTTGACACAGCCTGGGACACTGATGGCTTGCAGGGACTGCCCTGTTCATATCCAGTTGTTTTTATCCACCAGTGTCCTGATTCTGGCCCAGATCTACAGGAGGGGACAACTCCAAAGAGGAGCAACTTATTGCAGTGTGCTGAGCCCTGGCTTTTATTTAGTGGACACTGCTCATGCCTAGAGAGCACCTCAGGCAAGGAGGAGAAAAGCAGAGCAACAGGCACCATGGCCATTCCAGCTGCAGCTGAACCACTGCCACAACCTGTGCCACAAACAGCTGCCCCTACACTGAAGAAGAAATCCAAGACCACCAAGACCAAATCAGTTTGCTTAGTGAAGGATGAAGAGGAAGCAGCAGGAAGAGGCAGGGCCAGAGATAATCCCCCAATTGCTACCTTTGGTGAGCTGCAAGATATGTGAAAAGATTTCAGCTGCCATTTGGGGGAGACCCTGGCAACCTGGCTGCTTTGGTACCAAGACATGGTGGCCCACCACATGGAACCAGATCATAGGGAAGCCAAGCAACTGGGATCCCTGTCCTGGGCTGTGGGCATTGACAGGGGGACTGGGAAGAGGACAGAAACTCTCAACTCTGGTGGTCACTTGGTGACAAGGGGATTGGGAAGAGGACAGAAACTCTCAGCTCTGGTGGTGACTTGGTGACAAGGGGATTGGGAAGAGGACAGAAACTCTCAGCTCTGGGGGTGACTTGGTGACAAGGGGATTGGGAAGAGGACAGAAACTCTCAGCTCTGGGGGTGACTTGGTGACAAGGGGATTGGGAAGAGGACAGAAACTCTCAGCTCTGGTGGTGACTTCTGTCAAATGTGAAGGAAAGGCATTGTCTCAAGGATGATCTAATGGTGTGACCAGGCAGGTGGAAGGCCATGGATGAAGGTATGCAGTACCTGAGAGAATTAGCTGTGCTGGAGGCAATCTAAAGGGGTCCAAATAACCATCAGTCCCCTGTAGATCCATATGAGGTCCACTGTACACCATCCATGTGGCAGAAGTTTGTACAGAGCACAGCACTGCTGTGTGTCAACTCATTGGCATTGTTGTCAATGCAAGAAGGAGAGCAAACAGTGCTTCAGGTGACCCAACTCTGGCAACATCAACATAACTTTTTTTCTTCCCTAGCACCCTGCACCTGGAAAGACTGTCCAAGATTAAGAACAGGTATGAAAAACTAGAGAGGAAATGTTCCATACTCCACCAGTATGGGCCAGTCTCTGCTCTGGGAGCAAACAGCCCCATCCTCAAGAGACAGGATGTACACTGTGTGGTAACCTGTGGTTTCACCTACATGGCCACAGAAAAGACATCAGGAAGTGGATGGAAAACCCACCACTGCCTCAGCAGCAGGGGTGCAGGAGGTGAGAGGAAGCACAACCACCACAGGAAGCTCTTCAAGCATAAATGCAGCTCCAGCTTCCAGTGGGCATGTCCTCAGACAGAATAGAAGGGCTGATGTTACTCCTGAAGTGGAAGGCTTCAGAACACATTGATGGCATCATCATGTCAAGAAACAGGACAGAGGAAGTTTTTGAGCAAGGGGAGAAGATAATCCAGACCTTCCTGAAGGTTGGTTTTGCCATAAAACAAAGTAAGGTCAAGGGACCTGCTCAGGAAATCTGGATTTTAGGAGTAAAATGGCAAAATAGGCATTGTCAGACTCCAGTGGATGTGGTCAATAAAAGAGCAGCTCTGTCCCCAGTGAGCAGCAGGAATGAAGCTCAGGCTGTCCCAGGTGCTGTGGTTTTTGTAAGGTGCATATTCCAGAGTAGAGTCAGATTGTAGGGCCTCTCTATCATGTGGCCCAGAAGAAGAATGAATTCAAGTGGGATCCTGAACAACAACAAGCTCTTGAACAAATGAAACAGGAGATTGCTCATGCAGTACCCCTTGGGCTCACAGGACAGGACATGTGATCTTGAAGCTGAATTTTGAAATTTGAATTTTTGGAAATTTAATTTCCAAAATTATGGGGAAAGGCAGAGGTTGCCTTGAGGTTCAGGGGTCTGAGAGATGTGGGAAAAGGGATTACCACTGAAAACTGATTTGACCTCAAGATTAGATCTCAATATTTACTATTAAGTAAATTTGTAAAAAGAAAAAAAAAAACTAAACAAACAAACATCCAAAAACTAAGTCAATGAAAAGCATTTTAAAATTAGGCACAGAATCTGAGAATGCTCAAGTGAATGTGGACAAGATTTAGGAGTGAGTTTTTGCTTGCACTGAAGAGTAGGTGATTTACTTTCTCAGAGTATTCTTGAGAATCAAGGTCACCGTTCACTTAAAGTTCTTTCAAGCAAAATGGAAGTTAACAGAGAAAAAAAAAGTGCAACAAAATTAATTTCAAGTTGTGTCAAAGTTATCGGTGCCTCTTCACACGTATTGGAAATAATTCATAACACCAAAACCAAACTTCTACAAAATTAGAAAACCAAAAAACCCAGCATTTCACAGGCACACAGCACAGTCCCACCCTCCAGGAGAGCTAAGCAATCCCAGTGGTTCCCCCAGAGGGATGAAGAGATAGATGCTCTGTGGGCACGTACCAGTCGCGGCAGTTGATGGCATCCCCGTAGCCCGGGGTATCCACCACCGTCAGCCGCAGCTTCACGCCCCTCTCCTCGATCTCAACCGTGGAGGCCTCGATCTGCACCGTGCGCTCAATCTTGTCTGCAAAACAACAACTGCACCCTGCACCTCCAGTCTGAGAGCCTGGCACCCTGAGATAGCTCAGATTAAACTGCAGAATTCAACTGCAGAAATATTATTCCATCCATTGCATTCTAAGGCCTGGTAACAAAAAGGCTCAGTAGATCAATTCCTTCAGTGTTATTGGAGGACTGAGTATGAGATTTCATACTTGAAAATAATCTAGAAATTAAGGCAAAAGGGACTGAGACAAAACCATCAGTAATGGGAGAACAATATAAAATTATATGTAATGGATTTTTTCCTAAGGTTGGAAGTTCTAAGTATCCTCAGCTAATATGATAAAATCATTAAAGCAAGTCATTCAACAGGTAGTAAAAGGAGAAAAATTGCATCTTTTATTTTATTGCCATGTCCTCTTTGCTGAGTTATTGCATACAACAAAAATAGGATAAGGAAATGAAGAAGAATAGGAAGAAGTGAAGTTCTCATTCACTAAATATCAATCTAAAGTAAATGAAAAAAGGTGCAAACTTAGGCATACATATGCAAAAATATGCAAACATATGCAAAAATAAGGCATAAACAATTCATATGTTTACAATTGCAACAGATTAAAAACGAAATAAAGTCTCTGTTTTAGTTGATTGTTACTCTTACTGTGACACAAAGACTGTTTTTAAGCAAAAGAAGGGACCAAATTTCTAGGTGTTCATATGAATACACCCAAGGACTAAATAACAAAGACATAACAGACATCCTGGGTGCAGAGGAAAATGGATTTATCACACAGTTCAAGTGACAAGAAATGCATTAGAAACTACTGGAGCTAGAAATCACAGATAAATGCATTCAACTCCAAAAACCATTGAGCAAAGATGTATTTACCAGCAGCTCCTGGGATTATCCTTTCTGGGTAGAGATCTGTCAGGAACAGGCTGTTTATTAATGTAGATTTTCCTAATCCAGATTCACCTGTGATTCAATATAAAGATAAATTCAACATATTTACATAAATAATTTCAAGAATATCTGACAGTATTATCTGACTAGAGATTTTTTTCATATTTCTTTCAAAGTAAGAATTTACATCTTTTTCATTTTGGATTAGCCAAGTTCACACAAAAAGGTTGAAAAGCAATTTTTACATCTTGGCTTTGTAATTCACTTTCCCAGAGCTCACTGATGATCTGTAATTAATGCTGCTAATCAAGTGGAGTTGTGACCCATTTAGATTTAAGATTTTCCATTTCATGTCTCCTGATTTTTTAAGACAAGCTTTTCTGTTATCAGTTATCAGAATGTGAAATATCATAACCAGTTTGAAGTTATATCCTGTCAAGGCTTTATCATCAATTTAAGCAATGAAAAATGCATTGCTGAACTTCTGTACAGCCAGGCAACATAAAGTGGATTTATTTCTGTTTTTTAAGGCAATATGGCACTGAGCAATTTTTTTGATACTGATGAACTTGGGGATTACCAAATTGTACCATAAGTTTATTTTTGTTCTAGAGATACCGATGGTCATGAGGAAAATTTAGACTCATTAAAGATCAAGATTTTAATCAGAACAAATGTTTATAGCATAAAAAAGAGTAGCAACTTGAAATGCTCCAGACTTGAGCTCACTGAAGAGATCTTTTTCTAGAATTTTAGTTTTATTTCAGGTGTTGATAGCATTAAATTTAAAAAAATGTTAAAAAATGATGGGCCACAGAATCTCTGAGTAACACTGCAATATGAATCTGACAAAAATATCTGAACAACAGAAAAAAAAGACAGAAATTGGTTTGGAATTAAAGAAGAGTTGCCAGTTTTTAATGCCTTACAGAATGCAGCTTTGAAGATCAGATTGTGCCAGTCCAGCCTGCACCAGTGAGGGTGACAGGCACCCAGAGTAACTCCACAGTCACATGGAATCATTTCAGCAAAATCAGAAAAGTGTGATTTCATCCAGTGCCACATTCCACTGTCTCAGGAAGGGTAAATATTACACATGAACCAAATCAGTTTTCATAGTCACTGTCAATGATTATATTGGCTGCAGTGGTTTAGTGACTCTAAAGTGAAAAAAATGTTTAGATGAAGTCATAGCTTAATAATGAGAAGGAACAGAAAAATAAACACAAGTGACTGGGATTTCTTTGGGAGCAACACAGCCAAGCAGCCAAATTCTTATAAACTCCAGCTCATATTTTCAGATACCACAGTAAACAATAGCAGGGGAAAAATACATAACCAAAAGCTGTGTAAAAAAGCAAAATCATTAATTAGGATTCTCTCAGCACAGGAAGCTTTTAAAGTATTATCCTGCTCAGAAATGAAGGAGGATGGCAACTTAATGAAAAATGATAGTTCAAAACAGGCCCTGTGACACAGCCCACAAGAGAATATCCTTAAACTCCATGCATATTTGAAGAGAAAGCATTCACATTCCAAACTGCTGAAATAATCAGCAATTTAAAGCACAGTTTATTTTATCTTACATCAGCTGCCTCCCTCTGCTAGTGCATCTTAAAATACCACTCCAAATTTTCAATGAAATCATTTTTTTCCAAGTCCTCTTCCCTTAGTTTTTATTTATCCCTTAAAATACTGGCAGGCAACAACAGCAAAGTTCCACTTCACTCCAGCATGGGTGGATTAATTCTCTTTCTGTTGCTCTTACACCATATCATTTCCCCTCTATTTACAAGAGACAAGAAACAACTGTAGGTCTCTATAATTTGGCATTGCTCTCTTCCAGAACTGTTTTATGTGGCAGAATTTGCAATTAGAATTCAAAGAGATCTGGAAGTTTAGTTCAGTCACAGCAGAGAAAGCAGATCTTTTCTTTCTCAAAACTGTTCACACTTGTAAGATCACTGAACAGTAACTTCTGAAGAGTTAGAGGAGACAGAATAATTTGAAGCAGATACTTAGAGTTTGGTTTTACTCTTAGATTTTATGAGCTATTCTTTATGGCATCATGCAAATCACATACAGCAAAAATACAATAAAATTCTAGGAAGGCAAAGATGAGGGCAAACTCTGTACAGCACTGAAGAACAAAATACAGAAGTAGGACAAAAGCAGTGCTAGGGCTGTCATTTGGCAAAACTAATGAAAGGTTTGAGGACAGAGTCTCCCTGTAACTACTGAAATCTAAAACCATTAAGTTCAACACCTCCTATCATCATCACTATCTCACCTCTCCTGCTCATTCCCACTGTGATCTCTCTTAGGCAAATCTAGCACATTAATGGGATTTATTTCTTGTGCTGCCAGGTAATGAAGAGCCTAATTCTATCAGGGTACTTTTTGTGAAAGCCTGTTTAAAAGCAAGAATTACAGAGTTCAAACACCAAAACTCACAAGTTGTGGCTCACAAACAGAAAGACAGAGAAGATACCCAAGCCTGATTTGGGAATCTATTTAATTTTCAAGAATAGCAACCAATTTCTCAAAGGATCAAGGTATTTCTGCAGATATGAGATTTTTTACCAACACAGAGTCCCAATGAATTATCACATAGAACAACACTTTAGGTCACAACTGCTAACATAAAACCATGATCAAAGTAAAATTAACAGCTCAGATCAAAACCAAATGGTTCCATTCTCAGTCCTTCTCCCTCTTTTACAAGAGAATTTGGAAGGGTTGAAAAGACTAGAGTTCAGATTGTTTTGAACTCAAGAAGCAGAAACAACATTTGAAATAGAATGAGTCTCTTAATCAAAACACACAAATGAACTAAGACAGTATTCAAATGCAAAACCAGTTTTAAACTACATTTTAAATGGAGTGCTGGAATCCTGTAAGACAGGGGAGAAGGAAGGGAAGGGAAGGGAAGGGAAGGGAAGGGAAGGGAAGGGAAGGGAAGGGAAGGGAAGGGAAGGGAAGGGAAGGGAAGGGAAGGGAAGGGAAGGGAAGGGAAGGGAAGGATTGCTGGAGTGCACAATAAAATTTATCCACCCACAAACTTATTAATGTATTCAAGCATGATTTCAATGTGGTAAACAACTGCTGCAAGAATCAACAAAATACAAAAGAAAGCTAAATGCAACAGGAAAGGAGGAAAGGAAAGTTTCTGATGCAAGCTGAAGCCTTAGAACAGTGCAAGTAACATTTGTTTTAACTTCAAATTCCCTGTGAGCAAGCACTAATTGTGAGAAAAACCATAAAACTGCTCCTTACCAACCACCATCAGAGTAAATTCAAACCCCTTTTTCACAGACTTTCGGTGAACCTGATTGGGAAGGTTTGCAAATCCAACATAGCCAGGAGTTTCTGGATTGGTAAATTGGGCAGGCTGTTGCTAAAAATGAAATAAAATAAGACTAAAATAAGACTTAAAAAATAAAATAAGACTACAATAAGCAAGCACTCAAGACTTAGTAGTTTGTAGAACTGCTTTCCTCACTTAAGTCAAAAGGTTTGAAGCTATGTGACAGAGAGGAAACTACTCAGAGGTTCCTACTACTCAAGGGTTTCACAAAGAAGGGCAGAACAACTACATTGACCTAGAGCTTAAGAAACACTTGTTCAGATATCCAGCTAAGCTTCACTTGTTCAGACATCCAGCCAAGATAACTTTAAGTAAAACAGAAAGAAAATCCCAAACAATTCTTTACCTAAGTATGACAAAGTATGCATTGTGGGCATTAATCACTTTTTGAACAGTCTTCACACACAGTTAAAATAAAATAGTTTTTTATGGGCTTGAAGAAAAAGATGAGCATTCCTGATCCTTTTTTAGCACATCCAAAGGAAAAGCCTGAGCAAGTAGTGAAGTGAAAGCCATCTGCTGGAAGTGCTCTTCAGAGAGCTCTCTTCAAGTGTGGGGAAGGGGGATTTACACAATAGAATGCTCACTGCTATAGACATGGCAGGGAAATCTTTCCACCTCTTAGTTCCCTCTTCAAACACATCACTCAAGCACCCTTTATCACTCATTCCTTTCCAATAAACCAACATGGGTGTTTTACCCAACATAGCAAATGCTGGGGGCCAAAATTAGATGAATGCCAGCATGACAATAATATTTTAGGTTGTAATATTTGAAATCAAGGGTTTTATTGGAAAACCAGTTGATTCTATTAGTAAAGAAGGAAATTAAAACTAAACCACCATTTTCTTAAATGATGCCTGCTCAAAACAAAATTGCAGAAAGGTTTCAGTGAAGATGCACCAGGGAGGTTTTATACAACTCTGACCAAAATGAAATCCTTCCAGGAGCATTAGTTAACTGCAGAGATTTATGCTTGCATGAAACTACTTTAATCTATGTCTTACATCACTCATCTTTCAATATTGTGTCTCAGGAGACACTAGATTTTGAATACCCTTCATCATCAAACAGATGCAAGTTGCACAATTTGTCATTGAAGATTAATATTTAAAAAGAAAAAAATGTATTTCCCATTGTTACATTAGAAGACAGAAATGTTATTCTTACCTTGGACATTTTTAGGCAAGGACAGGAAAAAATCTGAAAAAAATAATAATGTTTTTCAGCTTATTAAAAATTGTATGAGGAAAAAATTCACCTACAAAGCAGTGTAATATCTGCTGTTGCACAGTAAATTGAAAAAGGAGCATCCCTGACTGCATGCCCAGACTCTGAAACAGTGTCAACTTCTTCACAGAGCACAAGTATTTGACTCTTCTGTACTAACAAGGGGCAGAATTTTCAGCTACCATTGCTCCTATAAATGGAGCCAGACAAGAAATTCAAGCAACATCAATGTGGGGTGCTGAAGGCAGCAGATGTGTGACAAACCATTCTGAAGCCCTCAAAGTCCACATCCTTTCTGGAAACTCACCAAACCAAAGTTGCTAAAAAACACCTTGCTCTTTAGAGAAAACAGTTTCTTCAAAGCCAAAAAAAATAAACCAAACCTAACTCATGTATTATTTTTCTTTTCAAGCCTCTTTCTCCTCAACATTTCCATCCACGCTTGAGTGTTTTGTAAAGAGCTCACAGCTTCAAAATGAAACTTTTTCTCTTCCTCTTTTATCTAGATGCTTGCAAACTCAGTCATTCCACCTCCTGTTTACCAATATAAAATTTTCATATGTAGCTGCACGTGAAAGATGAAACAGGCACAAAAAATGTTTAAAGATTTCTTATCTAACATTTCTGTACAAAGAGTCTCTTAACCAAGACTCACCAACCACTAACTTGCATGATTTCAGGAGATCATGTGATTTACTGTGGCAACATAAAAATGCCTGCATATGCTGTGATAAAGAGGTCAATTCCCCTTTCCAGTCCCTCCCTTGGCTCACACTCTTACCACAAGGTATCAGTTCCCACTCCCAAAGCCCTCAGCCACCTCTTACCTAGCTCACTCACACTTTATTTCCATGGATTTGAAGTTATCACTACCTGATTCTTTCCATCCTCCAAGGAGATTTTGTCAGCAAGCTCACCTTTGTGTGAAATGACACAAAACTGCTTCAGTTTGCAGCAGCCTTCAGTCTGCTCCTCCCAGCAAAGAGACATCTTGGAATCAAAACAAACTGCCCAGACTTAGACAGCAGAAGCCCAGCTTTTTGTTTCAGGCACAAGGTAAAGTTGTTCCAGTGTGGGGATGATTTCCAGGATTTTCTTCTCAAAGCTACCGTATAGGTGTGTTTGTTTACACGATTTTAACCTCATTAGGGTTTGATGGGAGTTACAGACTGACAATGTTAAACACTGAAGCAATTTGGTGTCCTTTCTCATGAAGCCAATTTTGCTGAGAAAAATCTGGCACTCTGATTACTGACACAAAATAAAAACCAGATAGCATGGTTCTCAAGTGAAATTGCAAGATAAAAATAAAATCTAGTGTCTGCAACATCTGTATTTCAGGCCACAAACCAGTCTATGAGCTATGATGGATGCAGCTAGTGAAGAACTTATCCATGAGCCTGTTATCATGTAAGATTGCTCTGATAGCAACTCTTCCTTCCAAGAGTGTTTCCTGCCCAGTGATGTCATTGATTCCTGCTTAAGCATTCTCCATGAGAGGTTTTCAATGCCAAACAAAACCAGATCCTGCTGGAACACAGAGGAACATTCTTTTAATTTGTGAGACTTGTCTGTCACCCAACTATTTCTCAGAGGCGGGCTAAGAGCAGAGGAAAGTTTCTCACAGCTACTGAGGAAACGAAGCAGCGAGCAGAGTTATGCAGACGGCTACAGCTACATTATATTTTAACACAGAGAACAAGCACAGAAACTTTTCACGAATGTTTCCCACAGCGTTCCCGCCAGGTCTGAGCGCTCCCACACAGGCGGGAGCACACCCGAGCCCGAAGGCCAAGGCCCGCAAACCCGAGCCAAGGGCATCGCACGGGGGGCTTGGGGCTGAGGTCGGGGTTCGGGTGCCTCGAAGCAGCCCAGACTTTCCTCGGGAGCTGGTCGGACATGTTCCTCACCCTCCGGTCTCTGCAGCGAGGCTGGAGTTTTCTACGAGAGCACGTTCAGAAGCGAGTGCCTTGCCCGCCGTGGGAGGGGCCCCGGCCCGGGGGTCCCATGGCGGCCACACGAGCACCAGGTCCCGCGCTGGGAGGGCGGCCAGGGCGCCTCACACCTCCCGGGCACCGCATCGCGCATCGTCCCGCTCCCTCCGCACCAGCATCACCCCACCTCAACCAAACCCCTCAGGTTCGGGGGTCCGTATGGAAAAGGACAGACCCCTTCCCAGCGCTGCTGCCCGCCGTGTCCCCCTCACGCCCGGTGGGACCCCGCGCTCCCGGGGCGGGGCAGGGCCCCTCCCTCACCTCAGCGCCTCCCGCAGCCGCCGGCCCCGAGCTCCGCTCCCGCGCGCGCACGGCCGGCCGAGGGGGCGGGGCCGCCCCGCCTCAGGCCCCGCCCCCCGGGCGGTGCAGGGCCCCGCGCGCACGCGCGCGCCCCGTCCCCATAGCAACCCGCTGGGAGGGGGCGGGGCCGCCCGCATGTTGTAGGTCACGCACATCCCCTCTGCTGTACCAAGATGGCGGTCGGGCCGTCGGCCTCGTACCCAGCATAGGCTTCGCTGCGGGCCGACTAGAGGTAACGCCGGGCCCGGCGCGGGAGGGCGGGGGCGGGAGCGCCTCCGGTGAGCGGGAGGAAGGCGCGGGCCCGGCGCCGCGGCCGGGCTCCTTCCTTTGCCTGCAGCAAGATGGCGGCAGCGGCGAGAAGGGCGGCGGGCGGGATGTGCACGGAGCGCCCGGCCCCGCTCTATGGTCGCGGCCGCTGCCATTGGCGCAGCGCGGGCCACGTGCCGCCCGCGCACCCCGCACCGAGCCGGGGTCCCGGGGCTCCGCTCCGCCGGCAGCGCCGCCGGGCCGCCCGCGAGCGGACAAAAGCCGTGAGTCACGTCCCGCTTCCTTCCCCTGCGGCGCACCGGCCGGGGCTGCGCCCGCGCCGCGCTAAGGGGATGCGGCTGAGGGAGCGGTCACTGCTGCCCCCCCGCCTTCGACCTGCCCTGTGCCCCCGGGCCCGCACGGCTGCGGGCTCCCCAAGGGCAGCGGTCTCCATTCCCAGCGCTCCCCGAGCTGAGGATGCGCCACAGGCCGCGGTGGGGGAGGGTTGTGGCCTCACCTGTGACACTGCAGGTAGCGTCAGCCACCTCTGGGCATGATAGCAGCGGAAATTCAGCTTCTGCTGACCTGCTCTCTATGCCTGCAGTGTGGTTTTATTTCGGGTTATTTATAGACCGGGATGATCCAGCAGCCCTGAAGAGGGTTAAGCACCGGGGCACTGATGATTCTTGAGCTATAGCTGAAATGGCACATGATAAATAGCATTTCCCATGATGGCTTTCCCCAGCAGTAGGGGAGGTTTCATAACTGGGAGGCATAATTTCTTCCAGTGAGAGACAAGAAGCAGGAGAGGAGGTTGTGCTGGGAGTATTGGTAATCTAGAGATCAGTTAACTTGTAAGATAAGGCAAGAGCTTTGAATTCACTAAATTTAGAATTCAAAACATTCTCAGTTCTGTGCTTGTGAAGTTAAGATTAGTGACATTCAGTCCCAAGGTGTTTGAAAGAGTAATTTCTCGTCTTAGCCTGTTGTGTAATGGCAGAGAAAAAAAACTGCACACTCATATGTGCTGCATTGCTTTATCACATCTCTTCTGTTCAGTAAGGTAGGTGAAGAATCTGTCTGGTGATTTAGTCTCCATTTTTCCTACTGGTTCTATTCTGACAACTGTCTTCAGTTTGACGACAACAAATAGCAGATTTGTGTTGGGTTTTTTTTTCCCCCAAACCTGAATTGAAAGTGGTGTTTCATGTATTATTTCATACGTGGGCTGGGCATCCCTCTCTGTGCTAAAGGAACATAAATCAGAGGTGAAGCAGGAAAGGAAGCAATAACCTGATGTGTGGCTGTGTATCTGCTAAAGCTCTGTCTCTCTAACCCTTTGCCTGTTTAGATTCAATCTGTTAAAAAAACCAGTATTCCTATTTGTACATGGATTTTCATAAAGCATGGCCCACATCATAGACAGAGCCATCCACAGCAAAACCACACAACCTTTTTCATAAAGGTCCACAGTATAGTTTTACAAGGGTCAGAATGACAGGCACAGGAAGAGCTCTCACTAGATATGAAACAGTAACTGGTAGTATGTGACTGCAGGGTGGCAGAGGCAGTGTCACCAGCCAGCCTGAGCTTTGCCACTACTGCTGCAAAGTGAGTCCAGATCATTCTCAAAGGACAGTTTTCCAAGTAGCTTCTATAAGAAGCAGTTAAAGATTACTCCAGGTTTGTTCTGTGTAGCTCATTCTGCTGTGTCCACAGCTGGTAGTGTGATACTCCTGTCTCCTCCTTTGTTGCAAGTTAAGCTGATATTTTTCTGTTGGCTTCTTTTTCATCTCTCCCCCAGTTTTGCCTGATAGGGTGAAAAAATTGACATTTCTTCTTATGATTTTGAAGGTTATTATGGTCCCTACTTTTTCATTAGTCTCACTTACCTAGACTGGGATGAGGAGGGAGGTTTCTCCTTGAACTAGAATTGGATCATAATGTTGTTGTTGGTTGTTGCACAGCTTAATGGCAACAATAGTAACTTGATTTTGGTAGGTTGGGGTGGTTATTCTTAGTGGAGTAGCTGGTCTTTTCCCATTTAACATTAGGCTACCTCTGAATATAGTATGGTCTGTTAGAAGAGAGCCTTGTAACCTTGGGCTTTCCATAGCTGTTATCTGGGTGGGAGCCATCCCAGACAAGGCAAACTGTGCAGTTGGCACCTTTTTGATGAAAATTGGGATGTCTCACTGGTTACAGTATTTCAGGTGATACTGCCTTTTCCAAAGCATACTGTTCTCTTTATATATAGAAGCTTGTTAAGCTGGTACAAATGCACTTAGGATTGTGCTGCTGGGAAAATTTGGGTAATTCCTCCAGTCACTACTCCAATCAGATGGTCAGAGTAGTCAGCAGTGGCACTGGGACCAGTCCAGAGCATTCAAACTGAATGCAGGTGTGTGGTTAGAATCACAGGATCATTTAGGGTGGAAAAAACCTCCAACATCATCAAGTCCAACTCTTCCCCAGCACTGACCCATTCCCACATCCATACATCTCAAACACTTCCAGGGATGGTGGCTGATGATGCTTCCCAATATCCAATCTAAACCCTCCCTTGTGAATGAATGGTTCTCTTGCCATAACTGGGAGGGTTTTGTTAATTACAATGGTGGGTTTGTGGAGAGTATCATATTTATGTGAAAATGTTTCTCTTTGAAAAAAAGTCACTCAACAATGGCTCAATTTTGGTTTGTATTCAAGAATTCTACAGAAGGAAATCCTCAGGCCTGTATTGTGCACAGCTTATAAAATAAACCTCAGAGTGAAATAATGAGACTGGCAAGTGTTCCCATGGGTGTTTTGAACCCTTAGGTGAATGTTGTTACAGTCTTGACAAAGATACTCAGAATAGGGGTGGCTTCCCCATGCCTGGAAATGTTCAAGGCCAGGTTGGACAGGACTTGGAGCAAGCTGGCCTAGTGGGAGGTTCCCTTCCATGACATGGGGTGGAATTGGATGGTGGTCAAGGTTCCTTCCAACCCAAACCAGTCTGGGATTCTGGGATTCTGGGCACCACTGAAGAAGTTGCAACAGGGTTTTTAAGGCAGGCTGAGGAAGGTGTGTTCACCCAGGAGGTAACAAGTCTGACTTGTCCAGGAGCATGGTGCTGAGAGGCCCAGGGCCTGCAGAACTCCTGCAGTGTGCAGAAATTAAGTAGGTGTTATTGCATTAAAATATGAAAACAGATCAAGAAGAGACAGGAAAATAAAACCCAGCTGCAGGATTAAGTCTCTGTTCCTCTTCCTAATTACCCTACCTTTGTAAGCAGAATGCTATTGTGTAGCTTGTTGAGCTTTCTCATGTTTTTTTAATTTTACTTATTGTTTTTTCTAGGCCTTTGGTCTAGAAGCTATTCCTGCAGGGTCTGTGGTGTTTATTGTGGCTGTGAGACTGCATTTGGAGTGGAAGGGAGAGCCTTGGTCAGTAGGGCCTCTTGGGGAAGGGATTGCAGAGGACTCAGGACACTGGAGGTGGTCTCTGGCCTCCAGGTGTTCATGTTAGACTGGTGATTAAGTCAACAATCTAGGGCTTGTTTCAAGAACTCTTTCCATTTTAGAAACTCCTAGCTTTAGAAGAACAATTTTGGGGTACTAGCTTATCCTGGATGTGGAATTAGACCTGAGAAATTTGCATTTATATTTATATTTGTATTTATTTGCCCTTTAGCTTTAAAAGAAAGCAGATTTTTAGGATATAAACAGTCTATTAAAATCTTGTGATTTGCATTCTCATCTTAAATGATAAGTCCTGAATGCCTGATGACTTAAGTGATCTTTTTCCACATCTTCCTTCTGTGCACTCATGGTGTGACTTCAGTGGGAGGAAATCACAAAGTCAGGCTGGAAAAAGATGTATCAATAAATGGGGAGGAAAATTTCCAACCAAAGCAAGGGGAAAAACTGAGTTGCTAAAGGATTTATGTGTTTAAGGTTTTAATTGCAACAAGGAGGAGTAATCAGGCTGTGATTAGTGTTCTGAGTTTGTTCCATAAAAAAAGTGTATTAAAGCTGAAATACTTAATTTGTCCATTTAGGTGATGATCTGTGGTGTTTCTACCTATACAAGCTCTGATATTTTCCCAGCAGTTTTGCAGAAGTACAGGAATCACTTGTGGCAGCTGCCATATAATGCAGATACTTTGATCCTGCTGCTGGACTTCACTTGTCTCTCACAGCTGATTCTGTGCTGTTGAATCTTGCATCTGGCAGATCTCTCAAGGCTCAGTGGTACCTACTAATATTTTACAACTTCTTTCTGGATATATTAGCATGTGAGTAGCTAAAGTACACGTAAGCACTCCTTGGGTGCAGAGGGCTGACCTTGGCCACAGCTGCCTGCCCTGGGAGAGCTGGCTGTGTTGCTGAGGCACAAGGGAAGCAGGGCTTGGAGCAAGGAGGCACAAAAAGAGGCACTTGCAAAGCAGCAGGCAGAAAAAAAAAATCAGGGAGAAACCTGAGAGAAAAGATAGACCACAAAAGGCTCATCTAGAGGAAATCATAATGAGTTTAACTTCAGTGGAAAAACAGCCCTAGAAGAAGGGAAGGGATTGGTTCAGTAGCTGCAAGACACAGAGAAATGGTGACTCACAGGAAAAGTTTTGCCTTTGAGGGGATTGAATAGCACAGGCATATTTATGCGACCTCCCTTAAATGATGTTGTTTAATTTAATTGCAAAATAAAATGGATTTACTTGTTGACACAGAATGGAAGTAGTACCAGATTCTCTTACACCCCACAGCAGTGTCTGGAGCTGTTTTCCA